AAATGTGGCCCTTGATAATTTTTTCAAAGACCTTCCCCAGGATAGAAGTGAGGCTGACTGGCCTGTAGTTGCCAGGCTCTTCCTTCCTCCCCTTCTTGAAAATAGGGACCACATTGGCCCTTTTCCAGTCCTCAGGGACTTGGCCTGAGCACCAGGAGTCCTCAAACAGCCTGGCCAATGGCTCCACAATGACACCAGCCAGTTCCCTCAGCACCCGCGGATGAAGGTCATCCGGGCCCACCGACTTGGACACATCTAAGCCCTCCAGGTAATCCTGAACTAGGTCTGAACTAACAGCTGGGGGACTCGCATCCTCCCTGGGCCTCTCTACGCTATCACCCGAGAGCACCCCATTGTCAGCAGACAGGAACACGGAGGCAAAGAACTTGTTGAAGAGTTCTGCCTTCTCTTGTACTGCGGCAGCGCACCATGTAACAATATATCTGGACCCCAGAGGCAAACCAGCAGCAGCAGAAAGGAGGAGTCCTAAGGAGCAACAGGAAGTCAGGAGGAGGAGACAGGACGAGGAAGGGCGTTACAGAGGCTGGGAGAGAACAGCAGGCCCTGTAACAGCTATGTAAGAAACTGCTATAATAAAGACCCTGTTTATATTAAGTAGGGAGCTGTTCCTTGATTACCCAGACAGGCTCACATGAAACACACTGTCTGGAGGAGCCCTGCCCCCTTTTGTTAAAGCTGGAAGGTATGGACTGAATGAGGCAGGGGGTTGCAGGAAGAGATAAGAGGGTATCAGGTGGAGAGGAAGAACTGGATCCTATGTCAGGCTTTTCCAGACTTCCCACGTGATTCTGGGCAAGTTACTTAAATCAGACTTCTCAGAAGTAAGCACTAATTGTGTGTTCCTCATTTTCCTGATGCCCAACATGAGCCCTATGGGTCTGATTACCAGAAATGCTTGGGCATTCACTGCTGTAGCTGAAGCCAATGGGTGCTGGACCATATGTAGTGCTGTGTGATCCTTAGCCCTCCAGATCCAAGGTGCTTCAGACAGGGCACCCAAACTAATGGGTACTTTTGCCCTCAATCTTTCTGGGCTTCAACTCCCATCTGTGAAATGGAAATAATGCCACTTCTGAATCTCACTGAAGTGTTGTGGAAAGACTTTCATTACAGTTCATCAGGCCTTCAGATGCTCTTGGGATGAGCACTACAGAAAAGCCCAAGACGAAATCAATGAGTCTGTGTGCAGAACAGGGTTTGGATAGTGCACAGAGCCCATAAAGTGAACAGTGGAGAAAACAAAAATACAGAACAGCCACTCATTAAATTACCTGGGTACATCCTGTGTGCTCAGTGAATTGGGGTCCTATGGACACATTGCATGCGTTTATGAAAGTTGAGACTATCATGACGCACCCATACAAGAGGCTAGACTAAAGCAGAACATGCAGTTCTGGCATCTCCTACTCCAGAGCACAGGACGTGGCAATCTTAATAAAAGGTATTTTAACATAAGCTTTAGTGCACACACACCATGTACTCTTCAGGGTGTGTACACACAATCTTCATACCTGCATAAAATCTAGTCACACAGATTGAAAATGTTAAATAATTATTAATCTATGAGCATCTATATTAATATTCTAAATACAGTACAATTCAGCTACACTGATCATGGTTAGAAGGTACAAAATAGGTATGCTCCAACATTAATTTAAAATGTACTGATACATATATTTGAATATTAATACCCCAAAATAAACACAGACATGCATTTATAGACATTGATTTACATTACTTCATATATATTTAAAAATGTACACATATGTTAGAAATAAATATCATATATGTGTATACTTTTTGGTATAAAATTTGCTTGCTTATTAATTGTGCTAGCGTAAAAATCTCTTATCTATATACGTTTATGTTACTAATACACACCTATTAATACAGCAGTCTACATAGTTTGAGTGTATACACTTTTTAATGGTAAAGCATTTAAATTTCATGTTAAAGTATAGATACTACATTTATTGTAAACATTCCCAAAGTAGCTGAATTGTGCAACATTAATGGTAGGTCACTACATTTTTAAATGTATTGTTCATCCAAATGCATACAGGTATGCATATATTTCATACATACGCACACTACAGATTGCATAAAACCCTCCCAATTGATCTGTTATTGCATCTAATGTTACATCTAACATTAATCAGTATTATGCACATTTATTCATACCATATACATTCATATATTTAAAATGCCTCATGCTACATGTATCATATAATGTATATTGTTCAATGCATCTACATAGGTGTATATTTGTATTAAGATGTATGTTGGTTATTTGTATTGTTGAATAGCACTTAGGAAGCAGTGACTGGGCTTTTAAAAG